AGGGAGGGAGGGAGGGAGTGTGGGGTTTGCTGCCTGTTGATATAGAGTAGCTTCCCCTACCAGTGCTGGTGGGGCTGGGGTTTCCTCCTGCATACATTCTTACATAAAAGAAGGAGCTTGTGAACAGCAAACACTTGACAGGCGACCTACCCAGGAAGAGCCTGGAGATGCCATCGAAGGTTAATCAGGGTGGAGGGGACACGGAAGCAGAGGGACGTTCTCCAGAGCGCCCCGAAGCCTCCAACTGAGTCAGCGAGCAGCACTGAGTGCAGGACTGCCAGAAGCAGCAGTGGGCTTTTCAGAAATGTTTCAGTCTCTTTGGAGACTCATATTTCTTCCTCATCAGTGTAGAAACTTGGGATTCTGATCTGGCACAACGTTGGTGAATTAGTTTGCACTGGTGTGAATAAGGATAGCAAACTTAAGCTAGCCAAAACAATGGAGAATTTTAGGTGTGAGGCAACCAAGCTATTTAGAGTAGCCATTGCTTGCAAAGGATTTTGTGGGATTATTCATCTATTCATATAAAACATAGGATCATTCATTCATTCATTCATTCATTCATTCATTCATTCATTCATTCATTCATTCGCTTATTACTTATTTTTGCAGACACACGCACACACACAATTTCCAGATTGTCTTATGGTGGAACACACTAATAGTACAAATGCAGATAACAGCCGTACTGAAATAACACAAGAACCCTAATCCTTAAACCCTTTGGACTTCTGGTGGGAAGCTGTCCCACAGGTGTCCGCCTCTGACAAAAAGCAGGAGTTCCCACTTTCCCATGGGAAGAAATGAGCTCTTGCCAACTTCGTGGGTTGTCTGAAGTCAGCGGGTCTCTCCCCACCTGAAGGCATCAGCTGGGTGTCAGAAGCCGGGCGCTCACCTTGTTCCGCCTTCGGAGCAGAGAGCCAGCACTTGCCGCTCCATTGCTCCTTCTGCCACTAACGGGTGCCGTCTGGACTCTTCCAGGTTCCATCCCCCCTCCATCCTCGGCACCATGGGGAGTGCTGCGGCCACGGCGAAGCTCCTGCGCCTTGACCAGTTCAAGTGCAAGGAAGCCCTGGCGGTGGCTGCCTCTTATGCCGGTGCCCCACTGGCCAATGCAGCCACGCAGACCAAGCCACTTCACATGGGCAACGCCAGCCGGCACGGTGTGGAAGCGGCCCTCCTGGCATCCCTGGGCCTGCAAGCCAACAAGCTGATTCTGGACCTCGAGTCGGGCTTCGGGGCCTTTTACACGGACTACCTGCCCCAAACCCTGCCCAGCCTGCAGTCCTACTCTTGGCTGTTGGACCAACAAGACGTGGCCTTCAAGAGCTTCCCAGCACATCTGGGGACACACTGGGTGGCCGAAGCCGCCCTGGCGGTAAGGAAGCACCTTGCCCGGAGTGGAGAGTCCCTGCCCAGCGGCCGCATCAAGGCCATCGTGCTTGATATTCCCAACATTGGATACGTTGATCGGCCATTTCCTTCCTCAGAACACGAGGCCAGGCACTCCTTCCAGCTGGCTGCCTGCTCAGCGCTGCTGGATGGCGCCATCTCGGCCAAATCCTTCACGCCGCAGAGCCTCTCCAGGCCAGAGTTGAGCGAACTGCTCCGAAAGACCCGCCTGGAGCATTCTCCGGACAATCTCCCCAGCTTCAACAGCCTTTACTGTGAAGCCAAAGTCATCCTCCAGGACGGAGCCACCTGGGCAGAGCGTTGTGATACCTTCTATGGGCACTGGAGGAAGCCCCTGAGCCGTGGGGATTTGGTGAAGAAGTTTCACTCCAACGCCGTGGTGGCGGTCCCCCGAGAAGTGGCCGAAGGCATTGTAGAAGCAGTTGATCAGCTGGACACCCTGGAAGATTGCAGGGCGTTGTTTTCACTTCTTCAAGGAGCAGAGCTGGCCAAGGGTCAGCGGCAACACAGGAGGGAGACCTTGTGAAGCCTGCCTGCTCCCAGACGGTCCCGCCTAGCCGTGCCTGTTCAGTTTGCTTTTAATTGTCAGCCACAGCCCCACACAGTATTATCCGACCTTCGCTCATTCCTGTCTAACCTGAGGGGGCTTCCTTGTGGGGCAGCTGCTCCTTGAGGGCCAGAGCACCGGCTGGCTTTCCCGTGCGGCAGATAAGACCACTTATTTGCACCTCCTACCTGGACACGAATTGTTCTTCTTGCATTTACGTCATGTATTATCTAAGAGGTGTCAGCTTGTGTGTAAGAGCTGTGGCTTTTCTCAGTGTGCTTATAAATATCCTGTAGTGAGAACCACTTTCATTTTGAATCTTCTCATTTATTTCTGAGATCTTTCTTAGGAACACAGTCCAAGGGAAACAGCGATGAAGCCAGCGGAACTGCAGAGTCTGAATTCCAATAAAATTCGGATATTTTCTGAATTAAATCCATTTAGCTAGGGTGCCTATCCTATTTAGGGAGGAAAGGCAAGGCAAACAGTGTTAGCACCCGGTCCAGGTTCTTCTGCAATGCAAACATTCAGGCTGCATAAAGCTCATCACCCGGCTTGTTTTCTACGGCCGGTAGACTGCTCCTTACTCCAAATTATCTAGGTACAGTATTTCAGAATTTACTCCTAGAGGGAAACTTTTGGATGAAAAGCAGCGAAACGCCTGTGGCGCCGGGTGATTGACAATCCTGTGGCGGCACAAAACGGCCGCAGACTTTCGTAGCAGCCTCCGGGAGCCTGGCTTGAAAAGAGGGGCGCGGGGCTCTCCCCCTCCGCGGCCAGAGGAGGCAGAGCCGGGGGAAAGGACTTCCGGGCAGCGGGAGCCCGGCGCGCCTCTGGCGGGCAGGAAGGACGAGGCGGGCCGCGCCGGGCCGAGGGGCGCCAAGGGCGAGC